AATAAAATGGATTCTTTTTTTTCGGTGCATCTTTTCGGATTAGAAAAGTATATGGTAATGATTTAAGCGTATAGAGCTCATTGAAACGGAAGCAAATAGACAAATAATGAGATCTTGAGTTTATATGAAGTTCAAAATAGGAAATATTACAATTTTGTAATCAGTTAACATAATAATCGTTTCTGAAATGGTGATAAAGGAAAGCAAGAGAAGTAGTTCAACACTTATATAACCCCTGATATGGATTTAACATCATTGAAATGTCATTTGACAAATTGATGGAACTTTCTAAATTTACTAATTATGTTGATTGAATAGATAAATATGTCATGACAAGGTCAGTTGACTTAAAATGGAATAAAAAGATAAAAGCTTTTGAATTTTCATTGACATTACTTTTAATCCATTAGTATCTACTATGTATATATATTCATAAAGAATATCGAAACTATTGCTAAGAACAAAAAACAATTGTTTTTTTGTGATGCACTTAAAAATAAATGAGAAACGGTCTGTTAAATTACATTTCTATAATTTTCTTAAATGATTTCAGTAAATTACTTCAAGCTCTTTTTTTTTATCCTTGAACAATCATATGCTTCCATGATTATATTAATGAACAAAAATCTTTTTAGGGAATTGAATTTTATTTTTGATCTTTGGCATATTCAGGCATAATTTTTGATTTTGATGATGATGACGATGATATTACAAATAATTTTTATTTGTTCTCACAATGGAAAAATGACTTTCCTGACTGGAGTTTCATCGTTTGAATATTTATTAACGATATTTTTAATTGGTTGTTTGAGAATTATTTACGACGTCGACCATACTTGAAAATGTATGGCATAGTCTGTTCTTGCATAAGTTTTTGTATAAGCATTGTAAGCCACGCACGTGCAAGCGGATTGGTTTCGACCAAATGTTTGAGTGACGATGATAAACGTATCGGTTCATTCAATTGATTTAAATTGGCAACGTTCTTTGTATGAAAGGAATCAGCAAGTTTGTTAGCAGCTGTATTAAAATTGAAATTTATCTTTGATGATGATGATAATGCTCGTTTGTCGTGCTGTTGATTTGGTAACAGTAACGATTTTCTAAATAAGAATTTTAATGATGATGATGATAATGATGATGATGATGATGGTTCAATATCAAATTCATATGGTTCATTGGATATATCAATAGAAGATAATGATAAATCGTCGTTTTCATTACTGTCACCAATTAACATTTCCAAATTATCTCCACTTAAATCATTATCAACACTCGGCACTGGACGATGGTTAAAGAGGCTAAGTGAAGAAGACAAATCATCAGATGGAGAACTATCGATATAATGAAGTTTTGTTGTTGATGATGATGGGAGGCCGTACACAGATGCGGTACATAAAAACAATGATGAAATAAGTGAAACAACAAACACGACCAGAATGTCGAAAAACATGATGAAAAAGGACAAGGAATTAGCAGTTCTTCAGATGTTCTGAAAAATAAAAAGAAGAAGAAGAAGAAGAAGAAGAGGAATAGTAAGCATGACATGTATACAAGAATTTGACATATGTCAATGGAAAAGACAAATTTTGCCTCTTGGCAATATTTTTCAGTGGCAATGATTCGAAAAAAAAAAGAAAATGCAAACAATTGAATTGACCATCTTTATTGTTCTTTACATGCAAACTACTATCTTAATTTTGTAAGCCTTTAGGCATAACAGAAAATATTCTGAATTGAATATTTATTTATTGACTATAAAATGACATTATATGACATTTTGAAAATAAAATCTAACAGAAATATCTTATAGTAAAAAACAAAAAAAAAAGGAGAAAAAATAGAACTTATATCTACCTTGGAAATTGATCGACAGGTAGTGATACTTATTATTCATATAGATTCATCTTCTTCTTTTTTTTTTATATTTTAACTTTTATTAGAAAATTCTCAAGAGGTAACAAGTAAGAGTGTGAGTGTATGAGAATCAGCAATATGCTCTTTTCGATTGACATTATATTGCAATTCTCTTTATATTTTCTTTTTTTTTTGTTCTACAAATCTGTTTTTGACCGTCTATTCAATTGAAAATGGAACAAATAATGAATAAGAACGAGTAAATATTCTTGTTTCAATGAATCGTTCATGTCTATTCTAAACTTCTCGATATACTTATTGAAAAAAAAAAGCATGACAAATTTTATAATTAAATAATTGTCATGAAATTCTATCTAGGTGACAAATCAACAGATAATACACATAAATATAATAATAACTCGATACAACATTATTGATAACGATAGATAATGTCGATCGGAAAACTTCACGTCAAATTTCAATCGGAAAATCCTCAATTAAGTTTTATATCTTAGTAAAAATTACTCCTCCCTATTCTTTGACAAGCATACACACACTTATACCAATAGAATATAAATAATAATTTGACGTCAAGTAGATTTTGAAATATAAAGGAGAATAAGAGAGGGAGAGAGAGAGAAGAATGAAAGAGAGTGTGTGTGTGCGAGAAAAAACTAAATATTTTTCTCTTTTTCTTCACCCACGCAAAATATTATTATCCAAAATATACTTGAAAATCAAATAATTTAAGTATGCAACATATTATATTGTCAAAATCAACGAGAACGTTGACAAACCATTGTAATATTTAGTGTACTTCACTAATATGTGGGCGTTTGTAGTCCACTAAAAAAAAAAGTTACTTAGTGTGTCACGTTAGAAAAACCGCACAAATGACTAAAATGTAACTGTTATGTTATGTCTCTATGGAATTGATGCAATTCTTTTATGTCAAAGAAATACATAAGAAGAGAAAAAGATTAGTATTACCTTGAGTGAGTATCACAGTAACGAAAAACACTTAAACTTAGTCAAATATTACTCACAACTTTACAATTGTCTTTATAAAACATTTATAGTTATTAATGAGGCTAGAATATAAAAGAAGAGAAAAAAAGAAATGATGAGACGCATAGAAATGGAACAATTGATTGATTGGTTTTTCGGAAACGAAGAGGAAAAAAAAAAGAAATAACAATATGATATTAGAGAAAAAAGAAGGAAAAAAGCAAATTGATTCACATGTTGAATTGCTCCGAAACACTAATGACATAAAGTCAGTGTATCATCCATAGAATATAGATATGATGACAACAGTAACATTTAAATGGACGGAGTTTAAACTTTCAATTATTTATAGAAAATTTTTCTACAATAATAAATATGATTCAACGAGAGATATGTTCTTCCTCTTTTCAAAAGAAAATAGTAGCGATGAAAAGGAAAAAAAAATAATCACAGAATATAAATACAGAGATTTGATGAATTGATTCATCATTTGGTTTTTTTTTTATAGAAAATTATTTTCTTAATCACAAATGTGGTTTCATGTTTGCTAAAATATTCTTCTCGAGATATGATTACTTTTAAGAATGGATAATAAGAATTCTTGATCATCATAAATTCTCATACATTTTTAAAGACATGAAAAAATGAGAAAAATTCGCCCACCTTTTTCTTTAATATAATAGAATTAGAATGTGTCACTTTTTTTTCAAGTATTAAACCAGATCATAAACGATGAATATGCAATAGACAATAAATAATTTAAAAGATAGTCACATAGAAAAAAATTTCGAGCAAAAGAAAACATATATATATATATATATCTTTATTTAGTTCAAATTCAATTCATTTGGTTCTATCTTAATGAATTATATGTCGTAGTATTTTCATCCGGGTCACGAACTATGTCTACTCATTCATTTGTTCTTTGTTAAAATAATAAAATAATAATATTTATTTTCTTGCTCAGGTTTTTTTTTTTATTCATATTAACTCTATTCACTTCGAATTTCCTCTATAGTCTTCATCGGAATGATGAAAATAGGTAGTCTATATGAAGAAAAATTCTTTGTTAAAATCTGATAAACATAATAATATAGACTTAAGAGATCAGAAAAAAAAATTTGTATCACTTTTTTACTTCATTGATATATTAATACATAAATTGTACTAAAAAAAAAATTACTATAATCAAATGTTATTTTCATATTTCATTGCAGAGTAGATTTGTACTATTAAAATAAATATATAGTACACATTGAAAAATCCCTATGTCACTTACTTATTTCTTCTTATAACGTACGTTCAATCAAATAGGTTATTTCCTTCGACTGTCAGTTGATTGACATCATATCGAATTTTTTCTTTTTGCTTTTTCTTACTACTTTTAAAATGATACTGCACCTTAACTTTAGATTTATCTTGTTGTGTTGATGTTGATGTTAGTAGTGCTCAAAATCAGGAAATGTCCTTCTCTTTTTTTTTCCGCTTAAAATTTTATTTTAATAATATCTGCTAATCAAATCTATGGTGTTTCCGAGTGCGTCATTATTAATGACGCACTAGGTCTAGTTATTTCAGATATAATTCGTGCTTATGAATTGTAAGTAATATAAAAAGGTGAATATGTGAAAAAAAAAATGTTGTCAATTAAATTCAATGAATATACATAGGTGATAGAATTTTGTTCTCATTGTCTCAAATGTTCTAAATTGAAAGAAAAATAAATGTGATAAAGAGCGCAAGATCAATTATATGAAAAAAGACAATAGACTAAATAAATAAAGATTTTTTTTTATGTAGGATATTTCTTTTTCATCTTCTTCTTCAAACAATGCCATATTTGATTAGATTACTTTAACATAACTTCGTAGTTGTTGATGGTAAATGTACGATAGTCAACAGTAGATAATCCTCTTCTCAATTCAGTTATTCCGACGTGGGATTCATCTAAGATCAAATTATTCTTTTGTGCATTTAGTATATATATATATATTCATCAAGCTTTATCAGAGCTTTACTGTCTATCAAATAAGACATATGACATTTTATTATTAAAAAAAAAAAAAAATTCAATGCATGAGTAGAACTAAATATTAAAATTTAAATATATATATATGTTGATCACAGTTCTAATGTTATATATAATTATTCTTTAATAATATTCCAGTTAATATAAGACCAATTGAACAAAAAAGAAAAGTCATCCATGCAAAAGCACCGATTATAGTTGAAATAAGAAGAACAGTTGAAATTTTACTTGATAATCGTGCAGCTTCTTCGAAGTCTTGTCGTTTAATCATTCTACGTAATTCATAAGTTTTATAAAGTGCCCAACATGGTCCAATAACAAAAAAACATAAAATAGTAAGAACTAATGCCCATGTAAAATGAACATTTATACGTGATGGTTGAATTTTCACAGAATTTTTTGGAGATTTTGATGTTTGTAATCGTAATGGAATTTTCTTTTTATTATTATTATGAGATTTTTTAACGTGAAGATCTTTAGCTGATAATTCAATAGGTGAACGTTGTGTATCATAAAACGTTCGATTGTTTTCTAACATTTTCTTTATAATAAATAAAAAATATTAAGAAGAAAAGAAAGGTATGAGTTGATATGTGAAGTTCCACAGTAGAAAAAGAAAATAACATCTTTTGTTTCTATTGACAACAAACGACGATGGAATGGGTAATAAAAGGAAGGAAAAGAAAAAACTAACTAGTAAAAATTTTTAAACGTAATTTCTTATATCGTCTAAAAATAAATAAAATTTTTTTAATAGAGTTAATAATGAAAATAATTATCATGATAGCTTGTTCTTACATTAATTCATTTTTATTATTAGAAAATGTTCCTGTATCACATATCATTAATTTTTCTTTTATATATTTTTTTTGTTTTCAATTAGTTGTACTTGGAAACAGTAAAGCATATTATCGAGTATATCTCTAATATCATTATTAACAATTGAAAATCAAGTATTCATATTGACAAGAAAAAAAAAAGACTTTTTTTTTTTTTTTTTTTTTTTTTTTTTTGAAAAAACACTATTCTTAAATATTTTTCAAGAAAATTATGTGTTTATTATATACATACGATAACTTATAAAAAGTTAAAATTAATTTTTGCTAATATTATGACACTACAGAACTTTTCCATGCGATAAATAGTTATATTGCATGGCGTAATCAACAGATGTTCTTTTCCTCGTCTTCTTTGAAATAAATAATGTATTAAGAGTAAAATTGCGTCATCAATTGTACTCATGGTGATCTTTACGATACATGAATCATAATCGAAAACTATCGATTTTTATCCAAAGTTGAATTTGTTTTAAATCAATTTTAGAATTGTATGAATTAAAAATCATGTTTACTTAAGGGACGATAATTTAAAAATTTTACTATGATTTATTTATAAAAAAGAGTATATCACAACGAAGTTTTATTGAACTCTGAGACAAAACTCATAGTGATCATCAAAAGAACATTAAAACGATATGAAACTATTATAATAATGGATCTTAAGTCAATCTAAGTATCGAATCTTTTCAACTATTTTATATATATTTTTTATTGACTCAAAGTAATTCATTACTTTTGACGCTCATAGAAAAGATTTGCAGACTCGAAAAACTTCAACAAAATAGTGAATTATGTAAGCATTTTATAAAAAGTTATGATAGATTTACTGAAATTTTATTACAGAATGCGATATAGATAGGAATATTCAACAAAAGAATTTTTTATTGATGAATCTGAGATTGAGAAAAAGATTATTTCCATGGAACGAATACTTATTGATGGAGTTCACTTTTTGACGTTCGGTTGACATGGTATAGACTTGTTTTGAATAGAAGCAAACGAACGAGAAAATTTCTTGAAGGGAAGCACTATCGCCCCTTTCTTCTTCCGCTAAATCCGTCATTAGGTTTCCTATTTGAAGTTTTGTCTATTAACAAGCTGCACGATTATAAAAATATTTTAAAAATTTCAGTAAAAACAGCTGATTTTTTCTGTGGCTTTTAAGTATTCAAATGTAGTCAATTTTTTTATCATTGTTTAAATTGAATCGATTATTGAATATTAGCAGAGTTTGAGGACAAAAAGTCTTTCATTGAATTTTTTCTTCTATACTTAATTGTAAAAGAAACGTATGGTCTAATAGCTCAAAATTTAAACGTTCATAGTGAATTTAGTTTTTACATTAAAGCATGAACCTTTATAACATATTTTTTTAAATAATTTTCATGTCCTACTGTTTATTGATCAATCGTTCATTTGTATGCTGCTTTCTGAATTTTTTTTATTCTGTTCTTTTCTGACATACAGTAATCTATTATGGTTGAAAACATTGACTATATGTTTTTTGTTCTTTTTCTCAACACAAGTATTATCGATTGTTTCGCACTAAATTTATTGTAGCCGATTAGTTATGTTTTGTTTTTTGAAAGGATATGAGTCTGTTTTTTTTGAGTTAGGCTGTAAATTTTTTTTTTTATAAGAAAATATTTTCATGAATAGATTCTCACTCTTTTTTACGGGTTTTGAGGTATATTGAAAGTGTCAGTTTATTCTTTTTTATAGTTCTTAAGAATTTTCAATAAAAGAAGCAATCCACCATACTCTGCATTCAAGTGTGCTTTAACAAATGGAAAAATAAAACAAATTGTTTCCAATGATGATTCAAAGACAAAGTCAGCCTTTCCACAAGAGATATTTTTGAGTGTAGCTTGAAATATATCTCCTGAAAACTTCATCACAATCTATTAAATACAGCCATGATCACAATTCTGTTTCATCTCATTTGGAAAAAGCTGTTCTTCAGCCCCCATCTAAAAAGAAATTAGTTTTTTAAAGAAAGAAAGATGGATAAAAGACTTTTACATACAAATGTAGCTTCAGATTCCTTTCACTGATTCTTTTTGAATAGTTTTCAGAAAAATAGTCGACAGCACAATTTTAACTGATAAAAAGGGTCAAGATGAGGCAAATGTATTAGAGATTATAAATAAAGAGATTAAATTTTTAAGTCATTAAGAATGAAATTTGAAAACTTATTTCATAAGATATGAAAAATGACAACAACATTTTTAAGGTTTTGTGAGCTATTAGTTAAGTTCAAAAAAACTCATCTGTGGTGAGATAGGTAGTTTTTTGGACATAAATAACTCAGCAAGTTTGTATCCACTAGTTGGAAAATTTTTACAAACTATTAAAAAAATGATACAGAACAATATGCAAAACTCATCAAGTTCGAATCATGATTCAACACTAAAATTAATTACAAAATAAATTGATGGTTTTCTACAGGAAGAACACTTAACTAGTAATCTTATTTTCCAAAAACAAAATTAATATCAATCTCTTAATGAACATGCTAGAAAAATTATATTTATTTCTGTTACATTAGTATCAGTCGAACATCTATTGTCTCCAAGTGGTTTTTTTTTATTAACTCACATTGTTCAAATAATTTTTTGCATGATAATACCTTTGATGTGCACTAAGACAATAACTTAACTGATTAATAACTATTTTTTTTGCTTGTAAATAATTTTATATTTCAGTTTTTGTTTACTATTCAATGATGAGAAAAATTATATAAGAGTATAAATACGATGTTATTCGATAACGAATATAGTTTTTGTCTTTTCATACGATTTCGATATATTTCAAATGTAAACTGTTAACATTCAATTACTATTTATTAGACAAATCATCTACGAATTTATTTCATGGTATTAATCTTCATTTTTCACATATCGTCTTAATTCTCACTCGATGCAATATGTGAAAAAAGTCACATGCCTGCAAATTAAGACTTGTCAGACGTGAAATAGGAACTATGCTTCTGTCAAACATACAATCAATTTTATATTTCTAGCTAATTATCATAACGCTCATTTGTCACTTTCTACGAAAACATCCCTAATTAAAGTTGATTTGACTTTTTCACCCTGGCAATATATACTACATAGATTCTCTCTAAATTCATTTTCATGACTTTTTTTTGTCATCTATCGTACAATAAAGTCACTACTATTCACTCATATATTTCAATACATAAAATTTTCCTTTGATATATATATAGAAGCAATCAATCTTGTGAGTTGCGCCATCTATTTAATTGACAGATAATAAACTTTGTATGTCTTATTGGTCAACAAAACTAAACTAATGAAAAGATAAATAAAACATTCTTATTCTTCATTTAGTTAGTTAATATAAATGGATCACGGAATGTTTCCGGGTAATAAACGATCAAATGAAGATGTATCATCAGGTTCAAATGATAATAAACGTAATAGAAATTTATCTTCATCTCGAACAGAATATCGATTTTTAATTGCTGCATCTGATGCTAATGCTATATTTGGACGAAATGGTGAAAATTTTCAATCATTAAGAAATAAATATCATAATCTTATTGATGTATCTCAAGTTCAAACACCTGAACGTGTTTTAATTTTATATGGAGATGAAGATAAAGCAATGTCTATATTAGCGGAAATATTACCAATAATGGCACAAAATCAAAGTGTTCGACCTGGTTTTGTTGAATTACGTGCTATGATACATTCTTCACAAGCCGGTGCTGTTATTGTATGTTAAAATTTATTTAGAAATAAAACAAAAAAAAAAAATCTATTGATTGAATATTTTTCTAGGGAAAAAGTGGTGATCGGATAAAAGAATTTCGTCAAAAATATAATTTAGATACAAAAGTATTTCCGAATGCAACTCCAGGTGATACAACAGAAAGAATTCTTTCATTACGTGGTGAATTACCCAATATTGTTGAATGTTTAAAAGGTAAATTATTATTTAGAGAATAAAAAAAAAAAAAGATTAGACCTTACAATGGCCGGTTTTTTTTTAATTATGTTTCTAGAAGTTTATGCTATACTTGATCAAACACCAATACGTGGTCAAATACGAAATTATGATCCATCATTTTATAATGGTGTTGATGTAGAACGTTATGGTATTTAGATTGTTTTGTTTTTTTGTTTTCTTAGTCTTCTTATCATTATTTCTTACAGGTGGTTTTAGTGAAAATCATGATTTTCAAGCAACACGTACACGATTTAACCCTAATAATCAACAAAATCAACAACCATATACAGGAAATTACAATAATAATAATCGAGGTGGTAATAGTCATATGAATTATTCACAAAATAATGGTCCTATGCCAACAACGACTCAAGTAACAATACCACATTCATTATCAGCTTGTATACTTGGTCCACGTGGTACACGTATAGCACAAATTCGACAACAATCAGGTTGTGTTATTAAATTTGATGATCCATTGCCAAGTAATGATCGTATAATTAGTATAATTGGTATGCCAAATAATATTATTCAAGCACAATATTTAATGCAAACAGCTGTTAAACAATCCCAACAATGGACTAATCCAACTGTAACATCATAAAATAAACTTTTGTATGAATTTCGTTCTCTTGAACATTTTCTAGGAGAATGTATATCGATTTGTTTCATAAATATAAATATACTTTCAAAATTGATCTTTTAAGAAAAAAACAAAAAAAAT